GTTTGTTCCTCTTCGTGCGGACGGTGTTCGTGCGAGCCGCAACGGCAAAGAGCAGGCATCCCCAGCGTAATAACCCACACACACACACACACACACAGAGAGAGAGTGAGAGAGAGAGGCGATCAGTTTAAGGAGAAATGTCAGGACACTCTCTGGCGCAGGCGCGTCTGCGTGAGGAGCGCAAAGCGTGGCGCAAGGACCGTCCCTTTGGCTTCTGGGCGAAGCCGTGCGAAATGCCAATGCCCGCATCTTCCCCCCAGTCATCGTCGCATGCTGCTGCCGCTGATCCCGTAAGAACTGCCGCCAACGCATCATCCACCACTACCACCACCACTGTTAATAATACAACTGCTGCCACAACAGCATCAACCTCGTCAGCGGCCGGTGCTGCCCCTGTGAATAAGGATGACAACAGCAAAACCACAGAGGCCACCACAACTGCGGCAGCAACAGCAAGCGCGGGGTTGAACCTGCTCGAGTGGGAGGCCGGCATCCCTGGCAAGCCCNCCACCACAACTGCGGCAGCAACAGCAAGCGCGGGGTTGAACCTGCTCGAGTGGGAGGCCGGCATCCCTGGCAAGCCCGGCACCCCCTTCGAGGGCGGTGAGTTCCGGTTGCTGCTGCACTTCACAGAGGACTACCCGACGAAGCCACCCAAGTGTGTCTTCACGCCGGTGTTGTTCCATCCCAACGTTTACCCAAGCGGCACTGTCTGCCTGTCGATTCTCAATGAGGAGAAGGACTGGCGGCCGAGCATCACGATCAAGCAGATTCTGCTCGCCATTCAGGAGCTGCTCGACAACCCGAACATCAAGGACCCCGCGCAGGAGGAGCCGTACAAGGTGTACATGCGCGACCCCAAGGAGTACGAGGAGCGTGTGCGGCAGGAGGTCGCCAAACACCACCAAAAGCGGATGGTGTAATTAAGCACGAATGTAAAAGGGCCTGGCAGCAGCAGAGACAGGTAAAAAAAGAGCACGGAAACACGGGGTGGGAGAATAGTTTGGTGTATATATATATATATATATACAAGATTGTGTGTGGGAAGGAGTGAGGGCGAGCGAGGATGAGAATGGGTGGGGGGATTACTCATCAGCGAGGCCTGGCCAACCGCTTGTTGCGTACCACACTCACACACACACACATACCATATAAGGTAACCAAGACGTACACACAAGACCAACTATAGATCAAGAGACGGGAGAGAGGATTTCTCTCTTTGCATTCCTCGCCCAAGTTGCCTATACTTGCCCACAGTGTGATTGGTGCGGGCGGGGCGGGGGTGCACACACGCTGACACAGACACAGAGAGACACACACGCTTAAGGCACATGCGCTCTCACACTGGACCTGTCCCGCCGCTTGTTGTTTCGCGTCGTAGTGATGACCAATGAAAGAAGGGAAAATTGTGTACGGTTAGGTTGAGTGACTGGTGTGTGCGACCATGCAGTGCTTTCTTGTCTTGCTTTGCTCTCTCCTTTTTTTTTTGTTTGTTTGTTTGGGTGTTGAAAATAAACAACGACATGCCAAATACAACGAATAACACAACGAGTTGCAGTGCAAGTATAAGCCAATGGGGCGGGCGTCGAAGGACAAGCGGGACATGTACTACCGCAAGGCCAAGGAAGAGGGCTACCGAGCGCGGAGTGCGTACAAGCTGCTGCAGCTACACGAGGAGTTCGATATTTTGCGGCGTGAGGATATCACGACGGGTGTTGTTGACTTGTGTGCGGCGCCCGGCAGCTGGTCACAGGTGCTCAGCAGTCACTTGCGCACGACGATGGCGGCGGCAGCGGCAGGCGAGGGCGAGGAGGACGAGGAGGAGGTGGTGGGTGGTGGTGATATGAGCCGAACACCAGCGGCACCACGCATTGTGGCGGTTGACCTTCAGGAGATGATGCCAATCAAGGGCGTGCGTCTGCTGCAGGGCGACATCACGAGCGAGGCGACCGCGCGGGAGATTATACGTCTGCTCAACAGCAGCGAGGCGACAGAGACGATGGGGGGCGGAGTCTCCCACAATGAGGAGGAGGAAGAGGCGACAGCAGCGAAGAGAGGTGCAGTCTGCGGTGGCAACGGTGACGGCGACCACCACCACGCAGAGAGGAAGGCGGATCTTGTTGTCTGCGATGGGGCTCCCGATGTGACGGGGATGCACGAACTCGACGAGTACCTGCAGCACCAGCTTCTCCTGGCGGCGCTGAACATCACGACCTTCGTGCTGCGCCGCGGTGGCACCTTCGTGACGAAGATGTTCCGCGGTCCCAACACGCCGTTCCTTGTGGCGAAGTCGGAGGTGTTCTTTCGGCACGTCGCAATCGCGAAGCCCAAGTCGTCGCGCAACACATCGATGGAGGCGTTCATGGTGTGCCAGGACTACCAGCCGCCCGCCGGCTACCGCCCGTCGTTTGACCGCCCACTCACGGCTACGACGCAGTGCTTTACACCCGCCGCCCCGCCGCCACCCTCACTTCTCCAGCAAGAGGAACAAGAGCAGCAGCAGCTGCTGCAGGAACGACGTGTGGAGACTGTTGTGATTCCCTTTTTAGCGTGTGGTGATCTGTGCGGGTACGATGCCGACATGTGCTACGACCGTGATGGCGACGCACCAACGCTTCCGCCTGTGCACCCGCCGCGGCAGGCGCCGTACATTTCGGCTGACACTCTGGCAGCAGCAGCAGC